GACGTCATCGTAGAGGCGTGTCTCGAAGTAGCCGGCGAAGCCGTGCAGGACGGTGCCCACCTGCACCCGCCAGGTGAGCTGGGCGTGGCGCCCGTTATCGGGGCACGGGTCTGACACGATTCCCAAAAAAAATTAAGAATTCCCAAAATTCCAGAAAATTCCATAAAAATTCCGGCCCCTCCCCCCCCGGATTTTGGCGTTTTTTGGGTTTTTTTCGGTGAATTTTTGGGGGTTTTTTGAGGTTTTTTGGGATTTTTGGGGTTTTTTTTTAAATTTTTTGAGGATTTTTTGGGGTTTTTTTTGAAATTTTTTTGAGGATTTTTTGGGGGTTTTTTGAGTTTTTTTTTTTAAGGATTTTTTGGGATTTTTTTCGGGGTTTTTTAAGGATTTTTTGGGATTTTTTGGGGGATTTTTTTCGGGTTTTTTTGGTTTTTTTTAAATTTTTTTCATGATTTTTTTGGGGTTTCTTTCAGATTTTTTTAAAGGATTTTTTGGTTTTTTTTTTTTGTTTTTTTTAAAAGGATTTTTTGGGATTTTTTGGGGGTTTTTAAAGGATTTTTTTGGGGTTTTTTGGGGGTTTTTTAAGGATTTTTTTGGTTTTTTTTTTTTAAATTTTTTGAGGGTTTTTTGGGGGTTTGTTTCAGATTTTTTTCAAGGATTTTTTTGGGGGATTTTTGGGGTTTTTTTTTAAAAGGATTTTTGGGGATTTTTCTGATTTTTTTAAGGATTTTTTAGGATTTTTTTTCAGATTTTTTCTTAAGGATTTTTTGGAATTTTTTTCGGGGTTTTTTAAGGATTTTTTGGCATTTTTTTCAGGATTTTTTGGGGATTTTCTTAAAAGGATTTTTTGGGACTTTTTTTGGGTTTTTTTAAGGATTTTTTGGGATTTTTCTGATTTTTTCAAGGATTTTTTAGGATTTTTTTCAGATTTTTTTAAGGATTTTTCGGGGATTTTTTTGGAATTTTTAAGGATTTTTTGGGATTTTTTTCGGGTTTTTTAGGGATTTTTTGGGATTTTTGGTTTTTTATTTTATTTTTTAGGGATTTTTTGGGGGATTTTTTTTATTTTTAAAGGATTTTTTGGGGGATTTTTTAGGATTTTTCCGGGATTTTGTTTTCAGATTTTTTTAAAGGATTTTTTGGGGATTTTTTGGGGTTTTTTAAGGATTTTTTGGGAATTTTTGGGGGTTTTTTAAGGATTTTTTGGGGTTTTTTTTTTTTAATTTTTAGAGGGTTTTTTGGGTTTTTTTTTAAAAATTTTTAGAGGGTTTTTTGGGGTTTGTTTCAGATGTTTTTAAAGGATTTTTTGGGATTTTTTTCAGGGTTTTTTAAGGATTTTTTGGGATTTTTCTGATTTTTTCAAGGATTTTTTAGGATTTTTTTTGAGATTTTTTTAAGGATTTTTTTGGAATTTTTTTTGGAATTTTTAAGGATTTTTTGGGATTTTTTTCGGGTTTTTTAGGGATTTATTTTTTATTTTTTAGGGATTTTTTGGGATTTTTTTTTTTTTTTATTTTTAAAGGATTTTTTTCGGGATTTTTCAGGATTT